CGATAAAGTCCAACCGGTCCCAACTACAATACACAAATGTATTCTGGAAAAAAAGTCCAAAAACAAAACCATCCTTCTATTAATCCTCAACTCTCTACACACCTGAGAATGCCAAGACGAACAGGAAAACATATTTCATCTTCAGTACAGCACTGCGAAATCTCCAAGATTAGGTTCAAACACTTAACATCTACTACTTCATCAACATCGAGTCTTCAGGGGCAGCCGTGATCAATCGAAGCAGCCGTCCTTCTCTCTCTCGTTAAAGCAACACTACGTCGTTTTTAGACCTTAAAATAATGTCTCTAAAATTATTTCAGCGGTAGAACACCTCTTAACCGGACGAATTCTACTTCCGCTGCTACCTGAGCAGCCTCCTAGCCGCTAGAACCACACTCTGTAAGTTTCATGTTCGGGTCGGTACACACAGCCCCGCCCATCCAATGCCAGCGGAAGAGTGCGACTTGCTTTACGGCATACGTCATATATTTTACTCGTAGCCTTGGTGGAGTTAGCTAACAGCTAACTATAAGGTGAAATTATCTCATGCAAGTCTCAAAACCAACGCCATGGCAGAGCCAGCAAAGAAACCAAAAAGGGATTTGTCGGAGGAAGCGAAGAAAAGAAAGAGAGAGAGTGATCGGTTCCGTCAGCTTAGTCAACAAATTCACGTGTATTGCGATGCCCACGGGCAAGCTTATACAGTGACAGTATTTACGAAACGGGTAACAGACCATTTCGCTTATCAACCACATGGGGGAACAGTGAGCAAAAGTTACATGGTGTTGCTTTAAAGAAAAAAAAAACTTATTTTACACTTTCATAACAACAACAAAACAAGAAACTAATCAGCCTGGTGCTTGCTTATGAAAGTTTGCCAGTTTAACTGGGATTTTTTCAACCGAAAAATTACATTTTAAAAGAAAATTTATGCCACCCAGAGTTAAATATGTAATTGGGGAAAACATTCCATACACTATCTTTATTTGTAATGAATTTAATTATCCATTTTATCTTAAACACATTATTAAGATCTGTAAAATGTAAAACTTCAAGGCCACCAAAGTCTCTATTATTATTTATAATATCTTTCCGTAAATAGTGTATTTTCTTTATCGTCAATTTGGATAATTATTGTTAAATGTGTGCCTGCTTTGCTTTAACACTTTGATTTAACATTTGTTTGTTTTATTTTTGTATCTTTTGCTACTTATGTATGATAATGTGTATAATGGAAAAATAATTGTTAAACATTTTTTTTTTTTAATCAAATGTTCAAATCCTCAAGCTTCGTTTTGTCTATCTACCTCATCTATCTATCATCTGATCGTTATAAATCGTTATAATAAAATGCTGACTTGACATCAACGTAGATATAAGTGATCCAAAACACTACGTGGCGCTATGCTTAGTAAGATCACTTTTGCTCCGCCCACTTCCGGTTTGACGCTGCTGTGCTGTGACGTAAGGGTTCTGCAGCTGGATGTATCTCCCTAAACCTACCCGTCATTACCCGACATGAGCCAATCAGGTAACATGGTCGAAAACGTCCTTGTTTTGTTCTCGCCCACCAATCTAGTAACGCCCATTACTTTCCTGCAGAGACCTATATTTGCCGTCACCGTATTATCGCCACCTAAATATCCTACACTCACCGATAAACTTTTAGTAAATGTAGTATACTTACCACATAGATACAAAATACTAACCACTATAAATATAGTATACTACAGACACACACACACAAAATTCACAGCGCTTGTGTAAGTGAAAGAAAAGGCAGAGCATGTATTTCCCCCCCGATTGCAGTGAAGGGGGCGGTCCCAGACTAGAAAGTCCTTGTTCACTTTCAACGTCGATTATTTTTTAATCTACGTCATATTTGTATTATTAACCTACCTCATTTTCTTATTGATGTAAATATGTATTCCGTATGCTGAAGTAGCGAACAGATACAATATTCTCGGATGGTAAAACTCTACTTACCTGCGACTGCAGCAGTATTGATCGAGCACAGAGAACATGGCGTCTCGTGGGAGGGACTCGTGGCAACGTCACAAGCAACGCTCTTCCTGATTGGTTCCCAAGCGCATTTTTGAACCGCTTACGTCATTTGTCTGAAAACGATACTTGGGCGTAGTGTTGCCAAGTCCCTTATTGTTGGTCTACTTTAACACTCTTGCCGCGGGTTGAAGCGACCACAATAACGTGATATTTAGCCCATGGAATGCGAATTGTACCAGGGGAACCCCGCCAAAAAACCTGTATTTTACCAATTTTTAACGGGGATCCCCCCTCGAAACGCGATCGGTCTAGTATTGAGTAGCAATTGGGCGGGTTTTGTTGTGAAAATCTGGCAACCCTTACAACGATATATCTTTCGTAGATGTCAGTGGCATATATATATATATATATATATATACACATGTATGGTCTGTGGAAGCAGTGGGCAGCGCATGCGTGAATTTTGTTGTTTTTCGTGTTAAAACGTTAAACAGGCTTTTTTTGTTTTTTTTTTTAGATTCAGTGGATTAACAGCTTTAATATTCGATTTCCACATGCCGTCATTGTTTTTCTTAAATAAGAAATGTCACATGAATACTAGTGATGTTACGTTCAACACCAATAAAAAAAAAACACATTTCACATTAAAGCAGCTGTATCCGAGCTTGATTCGTTTTGAGAAAAGCACGTGATCTGTGACGTCCGAAGCTTCGTTCGCCTGAAAACCACGTGACTGCTTCAAACTACGCGAACCTCAGCGCTGTTTCCTTTACATTATATTACATTATAATGTGTTGGCATTGTTTTTTTTTTTTATCGTAATTTATATATTGAGCTCAAAAATGAATTTTGGCCATAAAATATCAGTCTAAGGGCTGAGGCAGAGTTAAAATAAACAGATCATAGATTTCATTTATGAATTTATGCTTTATTTATTTGACTTATTTTAGTGCCAGTACACCGACTTTGACAATAAACATTATTTATATAAAATATAATACAACAAAAAAATCAGTTGTAGAACCAGATGTGAAACCACTGGCTGTAATGGAACATAACACTTTGGAAGGTGTTATTTATTTTTATGACCACTAGATGGCCACAGCATAAACCGTTTTAACAGCTTCGAGTAATGAACCTTTCCCCGATACAATTGTGATGAAAGCTTCACTTCGCCATCACTAATGAATACCATGATGAGATAAAGACAAGACAAAATAATCAAGAGTAGAAATCATACATTAAAACCATCTGCAGTAACGTGCTCAACATAAAACGTGCTCAAGTATGTAAACTTGCAACAGAACACATTTATATTGTTATTTTTAATTTGATTATTTTATTTATAATTATTATTTATTATTGGTATTTTTTGACAGTTCTGCAGCTGTTACCTGGATGGGATGAATTTCTATTTTTTTTATTAATCTGCTTAAATTAGGAGGACTACATTATTATGTAATTATTTGTTCCATTTTTATCTTAATAATTTAGCACTTTTTAAACTTTTTTTAAGTGCCAAATTGTATATGGCAAATAATATGATTTTTTTTAGGCTATGTATATTTCATCATTAGTTAGTGGACAGACCTATTATTGATAACTTTCCCATTCAGCCCTACATCTGGAGAACCTCTTGTGTTCAAAGGGCGGACGTGAGCCACGCAAATGAGCTTCTCTAATACTTGTGAAATTTGTTTCATTATAATTGTTAGTATCCACCCTGAAAAATCCTTGGCCTTTGTAACATACGGGACAAATCGTATCGATTTGATACGGTACGCATAAATGTACCTTTAGATATGGGACTATTCCCGTATTTGAAGGGACTGGCTTAGAGCCCTAGACAAGATAGTCAATGTTTGACAGATGACCAGAGAAATGTGTATCAGTTTTTTTCTCTTTAGAAAATTAGGTCTAGAAAGTTTATTGAGAGCATGATAAAACAACAAAAAATGTAATATTAAAACTTACATTTGCCCACGTTAGGCCTGCTCTGGGACTTGCAACATAATGTATTTCAGTTACATTTTTTTTTTTCACAATGCCTTTGACCCATTGTTCAATTCTTCGCTTTCCAAAAGTCACTTTTCCAAAACTCTCCAGCCTTCACACAGTGAGCACACAGCATCAGTCTATGTGAGCTAAACTGTGATCATTTAGGCTGTCATTGCTTTGGCACAAAATGCATTCAGTGACTACATCTGTCAAATGACATGAATTCATTTCTCACTCAGACACAAAAAAAACTACAGGCTAATTTGCAAATTACGTACTCATTTCAAAACCTAACATACAAAACTAAGACAGCAATTTGCTAGCCGTATCTACAGTACAACAATATTGAGATAAGTCTAAAAGTGTTTGTTTTATAAGTGACAAAGTGATTTTTTTTGGGGGGGTGAAATCCTTTAGTAGTATTATGACTGACTCTGGTTTCATTGAGGGTTACAGGCAGGGCCCAGGCCTCTCTCAACACACTAAAGACAGTCATTGGTCGCCATCTAGTGGTGTAATGATAGAACCTACAGCAAGAGTGAATTCATCTTTTTCTATAGTATAGTAAAATAGTAGCTCTAAAATATTAGTTCTAAACGATAAACACTAATATTTGGGAAAGTGAAAATCAATTTCTCAAATGTGTGGGAACTCTCTGTTTTAGCTTTAAATGTGACTTTAGTAAATTAAAAGCATGTCATGATTTCAAACAGAGAATGTGAACAAATTGAGTAAGATCAAAATGCAACTTTAATCAAATATACAATAATTAAAAAAACAAGGAAGAGAAACCAAGGAATCTCAAGAGCAGAACTGGAACTAGGAATCCCAAGAGCAGAACTGAGGACACCAACAACATCCACAAAATACGAAACTTGACTAAAGAACACAGCAAACATATATACACTGAGTAATAACGAAACACACCTATCTGAGTAATGAGAGGAGGCAAAATATCTACAAAAAGACCACAAAAGAGACAGGAAACAGGAAACTAGGTTAAACAAAGGTGCAAACAGACAGTGGACATGTAACACAGGCAGTATATCTTCACTGAGAAGATCTGACGAGAAGACACAACCTCAAGATAGTACCTGCAGGTGTTCATCAGCATGTGGGTTTTCATTGTGATTTTCATCAATGTTAAAGGTAAGATATAACCACATAATATTTTTTGTCATTCGATGTTAATTCATTTTCTCTGGTCGGTTAACCTAATAAAACTGGTTCAGTAGTTGCTAGTCAGTGTACTGCATTTTGTACTCTTCTATTCTTAAAATATGCAACAAGCAATGTAAACGTGTTTAATAAAACTTGCCGTTCACATCAGAATGGACCATCACCGTTCTACAGTCTCGTAGAGTCAATCTAGAAATGCTCCCTTGCTTAACCTCGAGTTTTAGTGTGTTCATATACTTTGTTCAGTATCTTTGATGCACAAACTGCAACAAATATCATAAGAGTATAAGGATGTTGTGAGTAGGCTCTGTTTCTAATCATTTTATATTCAAATGTAGTTTGAAGAAATTGGTCAAGTCTTTGTCTTTGAAAAAACTCAGTAAATTCACCTCTGGTTGCTGCATTATACACACATATCATAAAACAAAGCAAAAATCTATGCATGCGTCACTTTAACAGAAAGGGTGATGTCTGAGAACTGACGGCAGTAATGGGCATCTTTGTGGTTCAGAGGTGGGAGGAAGTCACACAAGTGCAAGTCCTTTAGGTTTCAAACCTGCAGTGCAAACAATCAAACAAAGACAAGTCAACACAAATGTTAAATTCTGTGGAAAACTTACACGCACACAAAGGACTAAGCCAGAAACTGGCTAAATAGCTATGAATGGTGCACACTTTACTATTTTAAAGGGTCCAGTGTGTTGTGACTAGTGTGTGTCTAAACGTCCCGCCCCTCACCTCAGCGGCATGTGCTCCGGTTGTATTGTAAACAACGGCATCGTTAATATCGCTTATCACTTTGAGCTCGATTGAGAAGCAGAGGATATTAGTGAAGAGGATCGTGCAGAACCTCAATTCACTGATCAGGAAATTAGCCTTTCCCTTTGCTTTCTTTAAATGTTTAAGGTGGGTGAGTGAACTTGTAGGCATCTCTTTACAGGAAGAAGAGTCAATGTTGTTTTACTCAATACTGATGGATTCAGTCAGTTTATTAGTAGTTGAAAAATGTCTCCCAGCTCTAGGGTACAAATCTGGACTCTGACCAGACCAAAACATGAGCCTGATGGATTGTTCTCAAGCCACTACTTGTCATTGCAGTGTGGGCAGGAGCATTTTCTGATCACAACTTTTCAATTGTGGGAAGTAAGCCATTCTGCGATATTCATACTCCAAAGCGTTAATTGAGTTTTAACTGAGCAGCAGCTGAAAAGGCTCCACATCTTCCTTCATGCTTCTCTGTGGTAGAGATGCATTTATTGTTGCATTTCTCACCAGATATTCAAAGACACAGCACTGGAGCACCGCCATGCAACTTGTATTTTATTGTGATTCATAACTCCACACAAATCTGAATCAAGCTTCTCATATTCTGCCAAAAACAGAATGATGTTTTTCTGAGGCAGCAATGTTTTAGTGCATTTGCTTATTTCTTTCTAATGTCCCACCAGTAATTTGTGGTTAAGAAGACCATTAAAAGCTTTCTGTTTAGCCATCTTGGACATGGCCCATTTTTTTCCCCATGCAGGACTAACGTAGAAATATACAAAGAAATCACTTTCAATTAACCCTTATAGAACACATACTTTGCCCATTCATATTTAGTGTGAGTGTTTGCTCATATACTTTAAAATACATATATTTTTATCCTCCTTTTACATTTTTTTTTTTTTAAATAGTACAAAAGGCTCTTAGAAAACTGACATTGTGCAACTTGTATTGAGGATTAAGTCTTCAGATGATTTAGTTTATGACAAGTTGCTTGTGATGTTCCTCATTTGTAAGTTACTTTGGATAACTGTTGTCTGCTAAATGATTAAATGTAGTGTATTAGAGTTGTCAAAGCTGACAGAATGCAATCTTGTTGCTATTATAATGCCAGAATTTTTGATTAGGAAACACATTTCTGCTCACTCATACAAATTAAATTAAAGCATTAAATAAACACAGAAGTAGTTTCAAATGTCAGAGGCTCATTGTGCTTCACTTAACAGTCAGTTCAAACAATTACTGTATGCTTATTGACCTCAGAAGAAAAGAAGGCAAGTATTACAAACACAGACCAACAAAATATAGCACATATTTAATGCATTTTCATACTGTTTCAGATCTAGTGAGCGGTGGATGGAATGAGGTGAAGACAGTGATGGAAGGAGATGTTCTCACTCTACACACAGGAGCTACTCAACTAAATAAAAACACTGAGACAATATGGTTTTTTAAAAGAGGTGATCTTACCACACGTATAGCACAGATGAATAAGGGGAACGTTTTTACCCATTATGAAAAACAACTTGCTGACCGATTGCGACTAGATCAAGAGAGCGGATTACTGACCATCTGGAATATCAGTACCAGTGATTCTGGAGTTTATGAAGTATCTCTCACCAACAGGTTAGACATCTCTGAGAGGAAGATCAGAGTTGATGTATACGGTAAGTTACAGCTGCTGCCGAAACAAACAATAAATAATGCAGCCTAATGCACACCTAGCCATGGAATATCTCACTTATACCATGATCTTTTGCCATTCAGCGGACAATATTATAATATTGTCTGCAGAATGGCAAAAGATCATGGTATAAGTGAGATAATCCATGGCTAGGTGTGCACTCAACATCGTGCTTTAAAATCAGCTAATTCACACTTCTGCATTATCTCCTACGTTATATTAATTGGTTACAATAATATTCAAATATTGTCACATTAGAACTATAAATAATGTTGTAGATAAGATGTTACTTAATTCATAAGTCAAGTCAAGTCAAGTTTATTTGTACAGCGCTTTTCAAGATACAAATCATTGCAAAGCAACTTTACAGCAAATTAAGATTATACAATATTTAGTGGTAGCTTATCAGTGGTGACTGAAGCTTGTGTAAATCCTAGTTACCACGGGATGTCAATCCCAGCAGAAACAGAGAAACAAATAGAGACATAATTAGCGTAGCTGCTATTCCAACCAAGCAAAATTGATTTGTTTAACCCAAACTAAAGAATAATAATGTGCATTTGATCAGATATAACTGCAGTACAAGATTATGAGATGCATTATTTGAATGCTTGGCCAAAGAGATGTGTCTTTAATCTAGATTTAAACAGAGAGAGTGTGTCTGAACCCCGAACGTTATCAGGAAGGCTATTATTATATAAATATCTGTTTGATTGGATGGTTTCTGCAAAATGTGGCTATTAAAAGATGTACAACTTTTTTCTTCTCCTAAAGCACCGGTGTCTGTACCTGCTATTGTGCACCGGTCCACAGGTGAGTCTTTTTAGTCAGTTCACTTGGTTGCTATCTTGTCCTGTAGGGTTCCTCTAAATCACTGCTGGACGAGAGGGGCAGGAGCTTGTTTTTGAGTCAGTAAAGCAACAAAATAAAGACTGCCTGAACTTTAACACTGAAATGTAACCTATACAAAACAAATCTCTGCAGGTACTTTAAAGCAGCCACAAGCAACGGAGGATTTCTGCTCTGTGGTCTGCTCTGTGAAGAATGATCGAGACGTGTCTATCTCGTGGTATAAAGGGAGTGAAATGCTGAACCAGACCAGCAATCCTGATCTCAGCATCAACCTCAGTTTACCATTAGAGCTTCATTATAACGATCCAGAGACCTACAGCTGCACGGCTGTGAATCCAGTGAGCAATAAGAGCGTCCGTCTTCACATGAAAGAGATCTGCCCACGACAGGAAGGTGTGAGAAATCAATCACCACAAAACTCTTTTCCTACTACAATGACATCTGTGCAAAGTGCAATGGCCTTTTTTTCTACAGAAGATGTTTATGGACAAGTCTCTTCTCTTTCAGATTGTCTGGATCACTGTGGCGTCACTGAGGCTCTGATTCGTCTGGTTCTGTCTGGTCTGGTGGGAATCACCACTGTTGGGTTTCTTATTGAGAATCTGAGGTTCTGCTCATCTCGGAGAAGAGCTGCTGCTTCTGTGTGATGGTGACTTGCACAAGAGTTTGCAGGGTGTTAAATATGACATTGGTACCATGAGATACACATGTGTGAAGCACCTGTTGGATGCAGTATTCTTTATTTATTGCTGTGGAGATAAAAGTATAGATCTGGTCGAATAATTTAACTTTACTAGAGTAAATGTGACCTGTATGCTTTGCAAATATAAAATGCACTCATTTATGCACATAGTAAAACGTAAGCATATTCGTGTGTGAGTGAGTATATGCAATAATGTCTATAAATGTACTGATTTTTCGTTTGACTGTTATTATTATCATTGATGATGTATTAAAGTTTTCGTTTTGTTTAAAACTTTAATATGCTGCAACAGCATTAACTGGTAGCATGAACATATCACCAGCTGCGTCCCAAATGACGCACTATGCACTATGCACTTATACACTATGCACTCAACAATGTAGTGTATGAATTATATAAGGTTATTTTGTCATTCATAATAGCCCCTCCCCCTCGCTACATAATTAAAGCTGCGACAGTTGAGTGCATGAAGTGTCCAGCGTGGCTGTAATATGACTGCATTAAAAAAACACACACAAAAAAAACATTCCACACTTAGTTTAAGTGCATCATCCGGGTATTTAAAGTGCACTTTTTCTTTTTGGAATTTTCAGTGTGAACGCACAACTTCACTGTGTGCTTTTATAATGCAATTTCATTATTCGGGCATAGACGCCTTGGTCACGTGGCTTTTCTCAGGTCAGGATGGACCAATCTCTGTCTCGATTATTATTACTTAATGAGCCGTTTAAAAATATATATTATTTATAGATTTCCGTAGCGGATTGTTATATTTATACCAAAAACAAATCTTTAAAATTAACATGTTAGAAGGATAATACGTTTTCCTCATACAAACGTCTGTAATAAGAAAAAAAATACGTTCTGAGATTTGAATGGGGCTCAGTGGAGAACGACTGAATGCGACTCGCGTCAAACTGACTTCGGCTGGAGTGGAAGGGCTAGATGGCATACAGCAAAAACTACTGGGCATGCGCACATCAATATACCGTAATTTTTCTCACACTGCACAACAATAATGACTATTTTTGCATTATTGTAAAGGGTATGTTTTGGGTTGGGGTAGGCGTAGACGTTAATAAAACTATCTAATAGGTAGAAAATTAAATTTCTTGTTAACTTCCGGTTTTTGCTGTATCGCTTCTAGCCACAAGCGAGTGGAAGCGCTGATTTCAGAGCGGCGTCTTTGATGACGTGTTGCCGTGAAGATGGCGGAAGTTCATTCCTGATCTGAGCCGGAGTCGCTCGGTAAGGATTGTCTAATAAACTATCCGAAGACGGATCGGTTCGGCTTCACGTCTCACATCTGACCCACCGATAGATTCGGGTAAGAGGCTGCCAGCTGATCGAGACTGTGTGCTGTAGTTTACCGCTATTGCGTTATAAGCGACACGGAGTCGTGTTGACAGCTCGACCAATCACTTCGATTATTTGAATCTCATATAAATAGCTCAGATTTGTCAGTGAGGATCGATAACATGTACCTGAAGATGTTTCTGAGCGTTTATCTCAGTTTGTTGCTGGTTTGATGATTTAAATGTTTCCTAGCTAAACAGGTTTGTCCTGAAGCTGCTAAACTGATCTCCATCAACGTTTAGCCTTCCAAAAATACCGCGGTAAAAATAGTTTCTGCCCAAAAGATAGTTACTGGAGTTTTGCTATAATCGAAAGCACAATGTTAATACTATGGTATATTGATATGGTACCATGGTAGTTCCAAGAATACCGTGGTATCGTACTACTATGGTTCATATAAAATAGTGCTGTCGAACGTTTAACCGCGATTAATCGTATCCAAAATAAAGTTTTTGTTTACATAATATATGTGTGTGTGTACTGTGAATATTATGTAGGCCTACACTACCGGTCAAAAGTTTGGGATCAGAATGATTTTTAATGTTTCTTACAGGAGCTAATCAAGGCTGCATTTATTTGATCAAAAATACAGGAAAAAATGTAATGTTGTGAAATATTATTATTATGATGTAAAATAACGTTTTTATATTTTAATATACATTAAACTGTAATTTATTTCTGTGATCAAAGCTGTATTTCCAGCATCATTACTCCAGTCTTCAGTGTCACATGATCTTCAGAAATCATTCTAATATGCTGATTTATTATCAGTGCTGGAAACTGTTTTGCTGCTTAATATTTTTTTGGAACCTGTGATACTTTTTTCAGGATTCTTTGATGAATAAAAATTTAAAAAGAAGAGCATTTATTTAAAATAGAAATCTTTTCTAATAATATACACTACCGTTCAGAAGTTTGGGGTCAGTAAATTTTTATTCTTTCTTGTTTTGAAAGAAATTAAACTTTTATTCAGCAAGGATGTGTTAAATTGTTAAGAAGTGATAGCAAAGATTTATATTGTTAGAAAAGATGTATATTTTGAATAAATGCTGTTCTTTTAAACTTTTTATTCATCAAAGAATCCTGAAAAAGTATCACAGTTTCCAGAAAAATATTTGGCAGCACATCTGTTGATAATTCTAATAATAAATCAGCATATTAGACTGATTTCTGAAGATCATGTGACACTTTAATACTGGAGTAATGATGATGGAAATTCAGCTTTGCATCACAGAAATAAATTATTGATCAACTTTTATCATAGTTTATAGTTATATGGAAACGAAAGTGGTTAACATTCAACCCGTTCTTTATCATTAGTAGTATTATTTGTGATTTGAATTTTGTGAATGTAAGTTTCTTTCTCTTTTGCTGTGTTAAGCCGCTGCCAAAAATATAGCTTACGTGTTTTTGTTATTAAAATAACAAATAAGCAAGCCCAGCCCAGGTGACACGAAGTAACACAAAAGTAACATAATGCATTATTTTCCATAAAAAGTAACTAAGTAACGCAGTTAGTTACTTTTTATGGAGCAACGCAACATTGTAATACATTACCTTTAAAGGGGTCATATGATGTGATTTAAATTTTTCCTTTCTCTTTGGAGTGTTACAAGCTCTTGGTGCA